GTTAAACATGCTATTCGGGGAATTTGCAACATATAAGGACTAAACACAAACTACTAAGACAAAACAAAGATTCAAAACAAAAATCTAATGCAAATGTATGAAGTCCAATCATGGACACATGCAAGGAGATGAGAGACTCAAACAAAATACAAAAGTAAGCACAAACAAATAGGTCCTAAACATGTTGATTGTGGAAGAAATTCAAATACAACCAAACAATGGATCTATGGAACAAAAATTAATTCAAATCAAATAGATCCGAATAGAAACTCAAGCAAGACAACAAGAACACAAAGACAACAAAAATAAACAAAAAAAATTGAAGAACACTTATCTCCTTGAAGAACCTTGCTCTTGATACCAAAAAGTGTAACCATCATTTCTCTCAATATTATTGGGCAGTCCCTACATGAGTAGTATGAGTTGTGACATGCAAAAGAGTAAAAGATTTTTTTTTTCTTAAAAATTCTTAATCACATTATTAAATTTAAGAGTCGATTCTTATAAATTTTAGGTTAAAACTATATTTTGGTTCCTTATAATTTTTTTTGTTTCAATTTAGTCCTTCATTAATTTTTGGTCTCAATTTGGTCCCAAATTAATTAATTGGTTTCAATTTAGTCCTAAATTAATTAATTGGTTTTAATGTGGGACTTTCCGTCCAAATTGCTTTAACGGTGTTAACTTTTGGCCACGTGGACGCCACGTATCCACGTGGATGAGAATTTTTTTGAAAACACCTGGACCCAGAACGGGCCGTTCTGGGTGCACTTTTGGTGTGTTAATTTTGCATCCGGAATGGCCCATTCCAAGTGCAAAATTAACACACCCAAAATGCACCAGAACGACCCGTTCCAGTTTCAGAACGGGCCGTTCCGGTTCTATTTTATTTTTTTATATATAAAATATTAATAATTTTATAAAATATATTATTAATTATATTTTAATTATGTTATTATATCCAATAAAATAAATATGTTAATATTTTTTTTATATTTTATTTTATTATGTTTATCTTATTAATTTTTATCATTTTATTCCTTTAATCTTAAATAAGTTGCAAAAAATTATAAAGTGATATTCCTTTTATCTTATTAATTATTATATTTTTTAATAAAATTAATTAAGAATATTGGTTTAATTGCATTTTTTATCCCTCAAGTATTACAATTGTGCAGTTTTGTGATCTTCAAGATTTTAATT